TACTTCTCTTACAACCTCATCTATAAATATATTAAACAACCACGGTGACATCACACATCCTTGTCTAAGGCCTACTTTTACTGGGAAATAATTTCCCTCTTTCCTATGTACTCTAACTTGAGCCTCACTATCCTCGTAAAAACTCTTCACTGCTTTCAGTAACCTACCTCCTACACCATACACCTGAAACATCTGCCACATTGCCCCCCTATCCACCCTGTCATACGCCTTTTCCAAATCCATAAATGCCACAAAGACCTCTTTAGCCTTATCTAAATATTCCCCTATAATTTTTACAATCTCTTTTGTCCCCCTTCCCTTTATATAAAGGAACTATACATGTTCTCGGCAAATCCCTAGGTACCTTCCCCTATTTCACATATCTATTAAACAAAAATACCAACCACTCCAACACTATATCCCGCCCCCCTACTTTTAGCATTTCAGTCATGATCCCATCAGGTCTAGCTACTTTACCCACTTTCATTCTATGTAATGCCTCACACATCTCCCTCACACTCACATCCTGCTCTTCTTCACTCCTTAAAGATGTTATACTTCCCTAGCCAGTGCATGAAATTACCACTTCCCTTTCTTCATCGACATTTAAAAGTTCGTCAAAATATTCTCGCCATCTACCCAATAACCTTCAGCTCCCCATCTACTAACTCCCCTCCTCTGTTTTTTATTGACAAATCCATTCGTTCTCTAGGCTTTCTTAACTTGTTTATCTCACTACAAAATTTTTTCTTTTCATCAAAATTTCTTGTCAGTGCCTCTCCCACTCTATCATCTACTCTCCTTTTGCATTCTCTCACCTCTCTCTTCACCTTTCTTTTACTCTCCATATACACTGCTCTTATAACACTTCTGCTTTGTAAAAACCTCTCTCAAGCTACCTTTTTCTATTTTATCACAACCTTTACTTCATTATTCCACTAATCACTCCTCTTTCGTCCTGTACCCACCCTCCTATAGCCACAAACTCTGCCCCACATTCTAATACTGCATTTTTAAAACTATTCCAACCCTCTTCAACCCTCCGCTACTCATACTTGCACTAGCCCAACTTTCTGCCGATAGTTGCTTATGCCTCACCCTAACTTCCTCCTCCCTTAGTTTATACACTTTCACCTCTCTCTTACTTGTTGCTGCCATTTTCCTTTCATCCTGTCTACCTCTTATTCTAACTGTAGCTACAACTAAATAATGATCCGATATATCAGTTGCCTCTCTATAAACGTGTGCATCCTGAAGTCTACCCATCAACCTTTTATCCACCAATACATAATCTAACAAACTACTTTCATTACATGCCATATCATACCTTGTATATTTATTTATCCTCTTTTTCATAAAATATGTATTACTTATTACCAAACCTCTTTCCACATATAGCTCAATTCAAGGCTCTCCATTTTCATTTACCCCTGGCACCCCAAATTTACCTACTACTCCCTCCACAACATTTTTACTCACTTCAGCACTGAAATCCCCAACCACAAGTATTCTCACACTTGGTTCAAAACTCCCCATGCACTCACTGAATATTTCCCAAAATTTCTCTCTCTCTCTCTCTCTCTCTCTCTCTCTATACTTCTCTCTTCTCCAGGTGCATAAATGCTTACTATAACCCACTTTTCACATCCAACCCTTATTTTACTCCACATAATCCTTGAATTAATACATTCATAATCCTTCTTTTCCTACCATAACTTATCCTTCAACGTTATTGCTGCTCCTTCTTTAGCTCTATTTGAAACCCCTGACCTAATCTTATTTATTTCTCCCCCACTGAAACTCTCCCACCCCCTTCAGCCTTGTTTCACTTAAAGCCAGGACATCCAGCTTCTTCTCATTCATAACATCCACAATCATCTCTTTCTTATCATTCACATAACATCTATGCACATTCAATCATCTCATTTTGACAGTTTTCTTCATTTTGTTTTTAGTAAGCTATACGGGAATAGGGGTTACTAGCCCATTGTTCCCAGTATTTTAGTTTCCTTTTACAACATGCATGGCTTACAGAGGACAGATTCTTATTCCACTTCCCCATGGATGTAAAAGAAAAAGCAATAAGAACAAGAACTATTAAGATAAAATCAAAGAAAACTCAGATGAATGTGCATACATAAACGTGTTCATGTATGTGCAGTGTGACCTAAGTGTAAGCAGAAGTAGCAAGACACACCTGAAATCTGGCATGTTCATGAGACAGACAAAAGACATCAGCAATCCTACCATCATGTAAAACAATTACAGGCTTTCGTTTTACACTCACTTGGCAGGACAGTAGTACCTCCCTGGGTGGTTTCTGTCTACCAACCTAGTACCATTTATGTTAGATTAAACTTGCACTCATGATTTTTAACTAGAGAAATGGTTAGTCAAAACACTTTTAAATGAATTGTCAACTCTCCCCAGATGAAACAATGCTTAACACACACTATCATAATTAATTTCACTGTCACTTGTACTGTCAAATTTACTGAATTATTTTATGAGTAAGTACCAGAGAATGGGTGGAGACTTGCAACTTAGTGACCCTTAATAACTATAAACAACACCCACCACCCTCTTAACCCTTAAACGGTCCAAACGTATACATACATTCACTCGCTCACTCGCGCAGCGCCTCGAATATTTTGAAAAAAAAAAATTCTTTTTTTTTTCCTTATAGAAAAAAAGAGCATATTTTTTTAAGTGTTTTAGAATAAAAAAAAATTAGGGTCAGTACTTACAGAGATATGACGCCGAGAAGTTGGCACTGGATGCTCACGTGATGGCAACATGGAGTCCTGCCTCTTGCAGAAGTGTTGCCGATATACCTTTTTTTCTATTTTTCATATTATTTTATATCATTTTTATGTTCTGATAATTACAATTTGTAGTAGTTCTTGTCATTTCATGACCATTCTTTGTTCTGACACTAGTATTAGGTACTGAAATTGTACTCAAATTGTCACAAACACATTGACAGGTGGACATTTACACCTGCCTTGGTCATTTACTATTGTCTTGGAATATACACAAAGTATTTATAGGTCCCAGCAATGTTTTGGATATGTGGAAGTATATAATAATAATAATGAGGAGGAGGAGGAGAATAATACGTAATAATAATAATAGGTAATAATAAGTCCCCTTGAAGCATGAGAAACAAAGTCCACCCTTGACAGTGACATGATAAGATGAGATAACATCTGATAAGAGCTGATGTTTGATGAGCATACATGAGGGTGCAGTGATAAGAAAAGATTAGAGGTGACATTTGATGAGCATCGCCCTCGCTTTGTTTTTGCTGGTACACAAACATGTCTGTCTGTCTGTCAAGTTACCTGTCTATCTGTCTATCCGTCTAGCTCTGTCTCAGAGAGAGCCACAAGACTGTGTCATCACGTTTACTCACATCTTCAAGCAGAGTATAGCACTTTGTCTGGATTTTTTGGGTTATCCTAGGTAATTTATACTACATATACTTGTATTTATGTGTACCTGTGAGACAGAGAGAGACAGAGACAGATTGAAAGAGACAGACAGATACAGATAGACAAAGGCAGAGACAGACAGATATAGACAGACAGAGACTGATAGAGACAGAGACAGATAGACAGAGACAGTTAGAGACAGAGATAGAGAGAGATCAACAGACCCTAAACTTGGGGTTAACATCACGTTCCTCTTAAAAGAGGTGTGTTAATATGACATTACATCAGTGAATCCTTGGTGTTTGCCGCACTGTTTGCTCTAGCAGGGGCTCAATTTAACTGGCGCTCCCACAAGGTACTAAGTGGTCCCAGATTTTTTTAATGCTGCGCACACCGAGTGTTAAGACCCATTCTATGCTGACCAGGAATCACAGGCCAATCATGCCAAATTTGAAGGCAAGAAAATTAAAACGTATATATACGTTTGGGGCACTACACGTAAGAACGTATATATACGTTTGGACCATTTAGGGGTTAATTAAGTCCCTGTTTGTTTACCACAAACTAAGAGTGTACCAACTAAACTGATGCACAAATATATATGAAGTAGGTGCTAAATACATTACATCCAGGATCCTTTCATTTTTTAACCTTTATTATGCAAAGGAAGATAAACATGGGGTTGACAGGAACTTCATCTGCCATGGACAGGTACAGCTCCTGTCAACCCAGAATATACAAGTCATTTATTTTCACAAAATAAAAGTTTAAAAACTGAATTAATGTATAGTGTGCACAGTATACTAAAGGTACTGTATTCACATTATATTTAGTTTCCTCTTATTATAATACTAATTATTCAAATGGAAGAAAGTAAAGGATATATAAATCTTCGAGTCCTTTTCAATTTGAATATAAACACTGTCTCCAGCATCCTATCATTTTAGCACTGATGAAGCAAAGGATATGAAAACATTCTATGTTTTAAATGGTATGCAGGAATTAACTAATTTAATCACATTTGTTGGCTTTCCCGAAACTCCTGTAGGAATAAAGAATTTATAAATATATGGTGTATACTGTGGGTGGCTCTCACAACTTCAAACACAGACAGTTATCATGGCAGTGCCACAAGACTATCCATTCACTTTCTGTTTTCTTGCTGTACTTTCCACTTTAATATCTCTCACTAACACATTCAATATTTGTGTAAATACAGCTATGGTAAGTGAATGACTGTTAATGGCACATCAGTGTGTAGTTACAGTGAAATTAGCAGTTACTAACCTCGTAAGGGCTTCTATTTTTCCCTAAAACTGCACAGTCATAAATGAATTTCACGAAGTCATGATCGAAAAAACACCGCAATTTTGCAATGGTTATATATTGAAAATGTCAAAGATTACATCTTAATTGATGGTCTACTGCATTTTATGTTATTAGATGCATATTTAAAAAATTATATTTCCTCACACATTCATGTGTGATAAATCATAAATCAAAAGATTTTTCCTACCAATGCTGTAGTTTATATATGATATTTTAGTTCATCTCTGCAATACTTACAACACATTCGTTCATCAGAGCTATCAGTTAGACAATCTTGTTTGCCATCACAGCGCAGCCTACGGTCAATACACTGACCGTAGTCACACTGCCATTCCGTTAATGGATCACATGCTAAGATCAAAAGAGAAAGGGTGTTAGTATTAATGTTAGTAAGCTAATCAACAGAGAAAGGTTTTATGTGTCTTCATGCATTGAATTATCTTCTACAAGTCCTTTAGAGAGATTGCTAGTTAACTTCTTAATTAATAAGCAACTGGTTAAAATATGCAAGTTAAAACCCTTAAAAGTAAGTCAAAATTCTCCCATGTAATTAGAAAGTAGCAATGCACAACATCTCATAAGCAACACCAAAAACATTCTATGTCAGTAACTAAACTAAATGCATGGATACATATCATTACTGATTTTTATATTACTTTTTTTTTGTATAATTCTTTTCAGGGATAAAATATAATATAAATTCTACCCTGTGAGACGATATTTCAGCTAGAGAATGGGTTTGCAGCTTTATAATGTCCTAATAATATTCTTAAAAAAAGAACATTTTAAGCCTCTTTGCATAGCACCATAATTTAAGACCTTCGGTAACAATCCTTGAATCAGTTTTTTGAGTACACTATTTCTCAAACATCCTATCTATGAAATCATACAAAAGGTTGAGTAAAGGATAAAAGCCAGCTCTCTGCAAAGAAAAATATAAGCTGGTAGATTTTAAATTAACTCAATTATGTACAAATTTTCATTAAATATTTAACTGAAGCAATTGATATGTAAATGATAACTACACAATATAAAGCTATTAGTTTCTTTTTCTAATTAAAGATATTCTTACATTCAACACACATGTATATTACTTACCTTCACAAAACAATACAATTTATCACAATTTAGTCATTCATCAAATACAGTACAGTATATCAAAGATGAGAGAACGCACACAAAAATAAACATGTAAATCCTAATGAATTAATAATTATAAATCTGCAGGAGCCCCATATTGCGAAAATACATAAAGCAAAATAAGAACAAAATAAGCTTATTACTAAAGATGTTATTAATTTATCAAGTACATAAACAGTACTGCATGTACAACCACAACTGTAAAAACAGGGAACAGTAACAAAGTGTACAATACATGTATAGTAAGGGCACATATAAGAAATGAAATAAAGCTGCACATATAGTATACTGAGTTGCCCTAATAAATTATAAGTAAAATATGATTAGGAGAACTAAGGGACATTTGGCAAAGAACAATACATCCAGTTACCAATGTTTGAAGTCAGTTGCAGGTCATGTGGTTTGTTCTTGCTTATTCCTGCACATATTATATAAGTTAATTAACAATCTGCCTCATCTATGATGGATTCTAAAACCCACTGAGTGATAAGGCAGAGCTACAATGACTAAGAGACAGACAATTACCTCAGAAATGAAATAGATGCTATACTGCATTTTGAGGCTGGCAAAAATGTGGCTTGCAAGACTGAAGTCCTGGTCTAGCTGCTTCAGGAGTGAACTATACAGTAATTTTATTTTCCTCTTAACAAAAAATCTCCATTTACCAAGCAGAGACAGAGGAGCTAAGAAACAAGGTTCATACAGACAATCTGTTATTCTGCCCAAGTCTTCTGATGAATAAATTTCATTAGATGCTTCAATAATTCTAAAATACTGTCAATGATTTTAAAAAAGGACACCTACCAGATCAACAGTATTTGTCAGCTGATGCTGTTAATTCTACAAATAACTGTTACAGTATAGCATGCAGTATTTTATCCCATTACATTAACTTTCATTCTATTCCGAAAAGTATTTTTGGGAATAAAATATACGTATAAATATTATCTCACAAAACTTTTCACAATACCTCATATTCATAACCTCTTAAGATTTAGGCCCCAAACATTCACAAACAACACTCAGATGTCTACAAGTGGTAAGAGTAAAATTTAATTCCTTACCTGATGATATTACATTGATCATGAAATTAATGAAACCTGTAAACAGTTCCTGAAACCTGGGTATTCTCACTAGTTCCTGAGGTAATATGAAAAAGCATATTAATGTTTTTGCAAAACACTTAACATGCATGAAAAGCAGGAAGATAGATGGAAAACACTTAAAAACACATTTTAAAAAGAAGCTACGGTGAAAAATAAGAAAGATAAACTTTGAGCAAAACCAGTGGTGTTAAATTATCCTAACAAAATTGGCAACAAACTTTGCAATGTACAAAAAAAAAACAGTCATTCAAGAAAACCAGAAATGTACAAAATTCCTGTGACAACTAAAAACTTTCATACATGGTACAAATTGGCACAAAGCTGAAAACAAGAATCAATGAACACAAGTTTTGCATAAGCTATGCACAGAAAGCTTGACCCTCTGTCAGCAAGTTAAAATGTTTAATCGCAACACTAAGCAGGAGTATGCATGTTGTAATTACAACAGAATTTAATCAGTTTTCATATGAAAGTAGCTGTCTTAAACTTCTACATCTCACAGGGACAATTTAACCCTGGCACTGACAGCACTGGCTGTGAAGTCCCTTGCTCTGTGCTCACCTGTATATCATGTCAGTTGATGAGCAATCCCCATCATTTGCACACTGTATCATCTGCTTGAAGATGGGCTCAAAACTCAGATAAACATAAAGAGATACAATATGCATACATCTTATTTCTACTTTCCTAGAATCAGTTTGAATACATGTATGTATGTATATTTTAAAGGAGGGGTTTGGAATATTGGCTGTTTGGAGTGACATTTAAACTGTAATATCTGAGTGCCTCTGAAGACAGTGATTATGTATGAATGATGGTGAAAGTGTTGAATGATGATAAAAGTTTTTTCTTTCTTTTTGGATTTTTCTTTCTTTTTTGAGACAACCTGCCTCAGTGGGGAACAGCTGACATATTAAAAAAGAATATGTACATACAGCCTCTCCTCACTTAATGACTAAGTTCCGTTCCTAAGACCACTTCGTTACACAAATTTGTCGCTAAGTGAGAAGCATACTATAATGGTAGGGGGTTTGTGGCAACCATCTTTGCACCATTTATAACATTTCTAGTATATTTTGAAATGTTTATACAGCAGTATAAGGTATATTAAAATAAAAAGAAAGGAAATCAGCTCTAATATATATTACAGTGGACCCCCGCTTAACGATCAGCTCCCAATGCAACCAATTATGTAAGTGTATTTATGTAAATGCGTTTGTACATGTATGTTTGGGGGTCTGAAATGGACTAATCTAATTCACAATATTCCTTATGGGAACAAATTCGTCCAGTAATGGCACCTGAACATACTTCTGGAATGAAATAATATCGTTAACCGGGGGTCCACTGTATTTAGGTATAAATACTGGTCAGAGAGCCCACTGTAACTCCAAGGCATTGGTAAATGAGTACATTGCTAGGTCAGGGGTTTCAAAGAGAGTTAGAGCTAAAGAAGGAGTAGCAATAATGTTGAAGGATAAGCTATGGCAGGAAAAGAGGGACTATAAACGTATAAATTCAAGGATGATGTGGAGTAAAATAAAGATTGGATGTGAAAAGTGGGTTATAGTAAGCGTGTATGCACCTGGAGAAGAGAGAAGTGTAGAGGAGAGAGAGAGATTTTGGGAAATGTTGAGTGAATGCGTGGGGAGTTTTGAATCAAGTGTGAGAGTAATGATGGTTGGGGATTTCAATGCTAAACTGGGTAAAAATTTTATGGAGGGAGTAGTAGGTAAATTTGGAGTGCCAGGGGTAAATGTAAATGGGGAGCCTTTAATTGAGCTATGTGTAGAAAGAGATTTGGTAATAAGTAATACATATTTTATGAAAAAGAGGATAAATAAATATACAAGGTATGATGTAGCATGTAATGAAAGTAGTTTGTTAGATTATGTATTGGTGGATAAAAAGGTTGATGGGTAGGCTCCAGGATGTACATGTTTATAGAGGGGCAACTGATATATCAAATCATTATTTAGTTGTAGCTACAGCTAGAGTAAGAGGTAGATGCGAAAAGAGGAAGGTGGCAACACCAAGTAAGAGGGAGGTGAAAGTGTATAAACTAAGGGAGGAGGAAGTTCGAGTGAGATATAAGCGACTATTGGCAGAAAGGTGGGCTAGTGCAAAGATGAGTAGTGGGGGGGTTGAAGAGGGTTGGAATAGTTTTAAAAATGCAGTATTAGAATGTGGGGCAGAAGTTTGTGGTTATAGGAGGGTGGGGCCAGGAGGAAAGAGGAGTGATTGGTGGAATGATGAAGTAAAGGGTGTGATAAAAAAGAAAAAGGTAGCTTATGAGAGGTTTTTACAAAGCAGAAGTGTTATAAGAAGAGCAGAGTATATGGAGAGTAAAAGAAAGGTAAAGAGAGTGGTGAGAGAGTGCAAAAGGAGAGCAGATGATAAGAAAAAATTTTTGGAGTGAGATAAACAAGTTAAGAAAGCCTAGGGAAAGTATGGATTTGTCAGTTAAAAACAGAGTAGGGGAGTTAGTAGATGGGGAGATGGAGGTATTAGGTAGATGGCGAGAATATTTTGAGGAACTTTTAAATGTTGAGGAAGAACGGGAGGCAGTAATTTCATGCACTGGCCAGGGAGGTATACCATCTTTTAGGAGTGAAGAATAGTAGAATGTAAGTGTGGGGGGGGGGGGTACGTGAGGCATTACATAGAATGAAAGGGGGTAAAGCAGCTGGAACTGATGGGATCATAACAGAAATGTTAAAAGCAGGGGGAGATATAGTGTTGGAGTGGTTGGTACTTTTGTTTAATAAATGTATGAAAGAGGGGAAGGTACCTAGGGGTTGGCAGAGAACATGTATAGTCCCTTTATATAAAGGGAAAGGTGGGCAAAAGAGATTGTAAAAATTATAGAGGAATAAGTTTACTGAGTTTTTCTTCTTCTCTTTTTTAGTAAATGTCTACAGGAGAAGGGGTTAATAGCCCATTGTATCAGTCTGTAGTGGAAGGAAGGCGGGGTAGGGGTCGGCCTAGGAAAGGTTGGAGGGAGGGGGTAAAGGAGGTTTTGTGTGCGAGGGGCTTGGACTTCCAGCAGGCATGCGTGAGCGTGTTTGATAGGAGTGAATGGAGACAAATGGTTTTTAATACTAG